AGCCAGGCATCGACTGCATCTGTCTTTAGATACTCCACAAGCAAGTCCAACTCAACCTGCACGAAATTAAGCACATCACCTGCTCCCCACGACTCGGAGCGCTCCGCCTGCGGGCACCCCGCCAGCCACCCAGTCTGTTGTCGATTCCTCGCTCCACACGCCTCGCTCCCTACCACGCTCCCGTAACTCAGGGCCTCGCCAGTTCTCAGCTGCAAAATGACCCTCCTCGCACTGCCTCGTTCACACTCCCCACAGCCCGTCGACGGCTGGCGTCGGCTTCCCTGGCCCCCAAGCCCCACGACGCTGCCCCAAAGCCGCGCTCTTCATCTCCAGGACCGGCCCGACGCTTGCGGAACGGCCGGCGGGCCGAGGCGGGGTCTGTTGCCGGGACTCGGCGGGTACGAGGGGAGGAAGGGCCCCTCCGACGCTCCTCACCAGCTGCCGGTCGGCCGCCGTCCGGTCGGGCACGAGGCTGTACACCTGGCTCCTCAGCGCGATGGGCGGCAGCGCGTCCTCGAACAGGCCCCGCGGGAACAGCCGCACTAGCTCCGCGACCGCCGCGCGCGCAGACCCTGGCGGAGAGACCGGGTCACCGGGACGGACCGGAGGCCGGGGAGGGGGACAGCCACGCGACTCCGCCCTCCACAGCCGGGTCCCGAGCTAAGCCCCCGCCCCCGGCCGCCCTGGCTACCTGACTCGCCCCTCAGAGCGTCCGCGTCCACAGGACCTCGCTCCCGCCGCCTCTTCAGACCCAAGGTCTGCGGGACCAGGCGATGCCTCTTTTGGCTCATAGCCCGGGATTTTACGGTACCTGGGAAGGGTCAGAAGTTGAGGAAAGAGCGCGATAAAGCATACGCTTCCGGTGCACGGCAATGACGTATGCGGCGGGCGTCCTTCCTGGCCGGCTTCACGGCGCGAGGACGGAAGAGGCTTCCGCCAATCAGCGCTCGAGCCGGTGCCTCGAGGGGCGAAGGCCAGCACCACTTCCGCCGAGCCGCTGCCCCGCGCCCGCCGTCGATTGGTTCCCGCCGAGAGCTGTCGCGTTCGGGTCTCTGGCTGCGCCGCTGTCCAAGCTGGGCTCAGAATCCTGATGCAAACCCTCCCCCACACCACCTTTCCATCCTTCAGAGGGGTTTGCCCGCCGTAGTCGCTGAATGATTGCGTCATCGGAAGCCAAAAACACCTTTGCATCCCTCTTCGGCTTCTGACGTCCCTGCCCCGACGTCATATCCCTGCAGAGGTGGAAGTCAGGGTCGGGGGACTTCGAGGTAACCCCTGGTCTGGGTCCTGGCTTCCTTCTTCCCCTCGCTGCATTTGAGTACCTGGGGGATGGAGGTTCAGGGCAAGCAAAGAGGCAGGCTGAGCGCTCGGCCAGGGGTGGGCTCGAGGGTCTGGGGCCTGCTTTTTTGGAGTCCCCCACCTGGTAGCCGGAAGGCTGGCCGGGTGCTGAGCTACTCTGCAAAGTGGAAACTTCCTCCTCTCAGGACCTCATGGAGCCCAGAGGGACCAAGAGAAGAGCTGAGAAGACAGAGGTAGCTGAGCCTCCGAACAGTCTGCCCCATGCAGCACCCTCCCTGCCCACGAAGCCTGCCCTCTATTCTGGACCTTTTCCTTTCTACCGGCGCCCTTCTGAACTCGGTTGCTTCTCCCTGGACTCACAACGCCAGTACCATGGAGACGCCCGAGCTCTCCGCTACTACAGCCCACCCCCCACCAACGGCCCAGGCCTCAACTTTGACCTTAGAGACGGATACCCTGATCGATACCACCCCCGGGACGAGGAGGTCCGAGAGGGGCTGGACCACTTGCTACGCTGGCTTCTGGAACACCGAGACCAACTGGAGGGGTGAGCTAAGCTAGACACAGGTAGATCTGGAGACCCGCACCTGCCCGGTGAAGTTAGAAGCAAAGCTGCAGGGAGACTGCAACCCTAGAGGGAACTCAGGCCACTCGGGAGGAGCTAGCAGAGCTAATGCTGTCAGACCCTTAGGTGCTAACTCTTCCCTCAGGGGTCCCGGCTGGCTGGCAGGGGCCGTAGTGACCTGGCGGGGGCACCTGACAAAGTTGCTGATCACACCGTACGAGCAGCAGGAGGGCTGGCAGCTGGCAGCCTCGAGGTTCCAGGGGACGCTGTACCTGAGTGAGGTGGAGACGCCGGCCGCGCGGGCTCAGAGGCTTGCTCGGCCGCCCCTCCTCCGGCAGCTTATGTACATGGGGTACAAGTTTGAGCAGTACATGTGCGCAGGTGAGAGCTGCCCCTGCACCGAGGCCAACACCCCCTCCCCAGATCGGAAGCCCCCACCCCTCCTGCTGCTGCTTCTCTGCTTGTGCAGACAAACCTGGAGGCTCCCCAGACCCCTCCGGGGAGGTTAACACCAACGTGGCCTTCTGCTCTGTGCTACGAAGCCGCCTGGGAAGCTACCCTTTGCTCTTCTCGGGGGAGGTCGACTGCATGGCCCCCCGGGCCGCATCCACACAGCCCCCCACCTGCTACGTGGAGCTCAAGACCTCCAAGGAGCTGCACAGCCCTGGCCAGTGGCGGGCCTTCTACAGGTTCAGAACAGGCGGGCAGGGCAAGGGCCTGTGTTCACACCTGGGACAGGGACTGGGGAGACGGAGGGCAGAATGGAGGGTAGAGGAGGGTCCTGCTGACCCCTTGTCTTTCCTGCCAGACACAAGCTCCTGAAGTGGTGGGCTCAGTCATTCCTCCCAGGGATCCCGCATGTCGTTGCCGGCTTCCGTAACCCGGAGGGCTTCGTCCGTTCCCTCAGAACCTTTCCTACCATGGAGATGTTTGAACACGTCAGGGTAAGGCACTGCCGTCAGCTGCGCCTGTCTGCACCCACCCCCTGCACCAAGACCACAGCGTACTGTCCAGGCTGCAACATGCCTTCCCCTGCTCCTTGCCGTCCCTCCCCATCTTCTGCTCCTCCCGCACCCATCCCAGAATGACCGCCATGGCTGGAGCCCCTCCGTGTGCGTGAACTTCTGTGCCGCCTTCCTGAGCTTTGCCCAGAGCACAGTTGTCCAGGACGACCCGAGGTGAGGCACCAGCTCTGTCTCCCCTTCGAGAGCCAGCAGCTGAGCTCCAGCCCTCAGCCCTATGCCCTCTTCCCCCAGGCTCGTCCACCTCTTCTCCTGGGAGCCCGGGGGCCCAGTCACCGTGTCTGTACATCGAGACGCACCTTATGCCTTCCTGCCCACGTGGTACGTGGAAGCCATGACCGCAGACCTCCCGTCACCCTCCAAGACAACGTCCCCCAAGGACTGACGCTGCAGGGGCTGATGGTGTCGTTGTGCACAGAGAATAAATGCATGTTTCTAAGTGGTTCTCCCTGCTGTGTCTTCTGAGCCGGGTCCCCCCACAAACAGCCTAAGCATACCCAGTGGTTTGTTGCTTTATTATTGTACTTTTACCCAGTGGCCATTCACTGAGTGTAAAGACTGGCGGCAAAGACGATGTCTCGGCGTAGCAGGGTGGCTGCTGTCTCCATCTTGGCCCCCAGCACAGGCTCCCCAACCAGGCGGGCTGCCCCTCGCAGCGAGCGACACATCTCAGCCAGGCGCTGGATGCAGCGGACCACCAGGCCTTCAGGAGTCCCCGAGAGCCCCGCCAACTCTGAGAAGGGCTGTGGGGAGAGCAGAGTGTGGACCAAATGCTGGGCCTGGGCAGGCTTTCCCCAGCCAGCCATCCACAGAACCCCACACCCGGGTACTCACCATACCCCGGGCCCACTCGTACACAACCTCAACCAGCCCGAAATTCAGCTCCCCCACAAATTCCTCCACGGTCTGGTTCAGGCCGCAGGCCACCTGGACCTCACCGATCCTCTTGGCCACAGCCCGGACACGTTCCACCCCCTGCAGAAAGGAAGCAAAGGGCAAGGCCTGCTCCTTCCTGCTCCTTCCTGCTCCAGGCCCAGGGGGTCCAGATTGAGGAAGACACCACACCCATCGTAGAGGCACTTAAGAGGGTTGACAGTGCCAAAGCTGTGAGGGGGGAGGGGAGGGCTTGCGCCCCACCTGCTTGAGGGTGCTCGGGAGGTGATCCCCAGGGTCCCCGGGGGTCTGGCAGACCAGGCCAGACAGCAGGGCAGCGATCTCCTCGGGCCGCAGGGCACTCAGTGCATTGTCGAACATGAGCTCGGTGAGGAGTAGCTCATGGCTGCTCATGGCACACGCCACCCGGCCCGCCAGCTTCACAGTGCCTGCCTCGTCCACATAACCCAGGGTTCGGAGCACCTGCGAGGAAGAGGGGGTGTTGGGGAGCCCGCTGTCTTCACCCAAGCCAGCCGCCCCCGTCCCCCACCCCCGCCCCCCCACCTCTACTCGCTGGTGGTACTCAGGCAGCAGCAGCAGCGACTGGTCGGACAGCAGGAAGCGCAGCCGCGCCATCTCCTTCTGAATCCGCATGCGCTCCCGCAGCTTCACGTACTTCAGAGACAGGCGGGAGCCCGTCAGCCTTCTCTCCTCAGCAGAAGACCACTGAGGATAGGGCTGGGGGCCAGAGAGGAGAAGCCCCTCCACATCACAGCTACCTGGGCGGAAAACCGGGGGCTGTGCACACACTGAGCCCCCCGGATTAGCTCCTCCAGCTTCCGGGCCCGGAGCCCCCCCTCGACCACGGACACATCCTTCAGCTGCAGGTCACTGACGGGGTCGAGGGTGGGGGGCCCCGCCGGGCAGGCCTGAGCCAGTCGCACCAGCTCCTGGACAGCAGTGGCCACGGCCGCCAGGGGAGGGTCCTTCCTGAAGGAGGGGCAAGAGGCTCCTTTGCCGTTGGCGGCCCTGTCAGCTGGAAGAGTCACTCTCACATCCCCCGTGTCGTGGTCCCCCTAGGGAAGCCTCCCAAGCCCTCCATGCCCCTTCCTGGGAAAAGGGTCCCCTAGCATCTCTGACCTGAATTTTGGTTGCTGCCTCTTGCTGAAATCCTCCAAGATCTTCTCTCCGTGCACCCGGAGCACCTTGGTGGTGATGGCAGCCACGTCTGCCGGCTGGAGCTTGGCCACAGTGTGGTCACAAGGCCCTGGAGAAAGCAGAGAGCAGGTCAGACTTTGCCATGATCCCGGCACTGCTCACCCTGCTGTCAGGAGGCCAGACCCGGCCCCATTCACCTTCAGGCAGGAACAGCTTAAATCCCACAAGGTCGTCGGGGTGGGGCACATCCGCAGTGGGAGTGGCCAGCCCCCTGTCCTGCAGGCCCTGAGACTCGGGCTTATCACACAAGACCAGGGTTGTGAAGACTCTGCTGGCGGAGCTGGAAGAGACCTGGGGGAGGTGGACAGGCCAGGACACCGGGACGTGAGGAGTGAACCTCCCAGCGGAGACCACATGCCCACCCCAGGCAGGGATGGGGATCGCAGAGCACACAGTACGGGGGGGAACCAAGCCGAGCAATCCAAGAGGACGCCGGGGGGGCAGGGGCAGCAGGCACAAAGGGGAGCGAGCACTGTGGCCGCTGCAACCTGCCCAGCCAGGTGGGGAACAGCTAGGGCCTCCCACCCTCTGTGCCTCACCTGCAGGATCACCCCCAGTGCGTTGTGATGCTCCTGACTCTTCACGACCACCACCCGTCCCACCGAGAGAGATTTCAACCCATTCACAGACTCCAGGATGCGTTGCTGAAGGGCAGGGGCGCACATGCCGTGCCGTGAGGAGCCACGTCACTGGGACACCAGGACTGAGTCCCAGAGCACCAGGGCACCCGTCTTCCCCCGGCTCGCTCTGGCCAGGCCTGCTCACCTGGATCCTGCTCCGGGTCTCTACCAGCTCCTCCCCCCAGCCATAATAGTCAGGCAGATCAGCCAGCTGGCCAGTCACGTCGGGCTCCTCCAGGGACCCCAGCTTCTTGGTCAGTTCAGCCAGCGTCTGCT